ACAAAACCAGACCAGGCAGAGTGATCTTCCATGAAGTCCTACCTCATCAAGATCATGAAGATGAACGACGACACATTGTCTGGGTTCTGATTGGAACTCGGCTGATGAGGTGCAGTGTACACTCCGTTCGTCCAGTCACCACGACTGAACAGATGGCCTATGAGATCGCCAACAAGGACGATCCAACTCAATGGCGTTCGATTGCTGATCTTCTCCCTCAGCGAGACTTCACTGACCTCACTGACCAAGTACCAGGAGAACATGAACAAGAAGAACCTGATCTACCAGATCAACCCGATCCTGATCAAGCTCTGCTACCACTTCGAAGAGCTGGCTTCAAGCAGCGTGTTCCTTCTTCTGGCATGGTTCCGGCAGCAGTTCGCCGCCGACTACAAGAGCTGGAAGACACGGGAGAATATGAGCCTTCCATACCGGATGAACCGGCACCTCCTGATCCCTCCATCGAGGTGGTGAATGACGACGGCACTGGCAGCGCACCTTCTACTGGACCTCCAGTTCCAACAGAGGAACCTTCATCGATCGTGCCCTTGATGAGAAACGCAGGAAGACAGATCACGATGACTCCGATCTCTTCAATGCTTCCTCCAGGCAGCTGGCCAACAACAACGATGCCAAGTGGCTCAACAACCTGATCGTGGAGGAAGACCGAAGTTGGGAATGTTTTGAAACCATTTTGGACGACAACCCCGACGTGATGACCATGGAGTTTGAGCTCAACTTCACCTCAAACCGGCAACAAAAGTTGTTTCTTCGCAGCCCGACCGCCTTCTTGGTCAAGAAGATGCGAGATTCTGAAGTGATCTTTAGCAAGCTCTCTGCTGAGCATCGCGCCCTCTTCACCCGGGCGAAGACCAAGGAAGTCAACAGCTTCATCCAGAACCAGGCAGTCCGCAAGAGCATGAATGATGTGGAGACCAAGTCAGCCCCCAGCTCTGGCAGAATTCTCCGAGCCAGGTGGGTTCTCACATGGAAGTTGATCCCTCCTGAAGATCGTGCAGCTGCTCGTCAAGATGGAATGACCAATCCGTCAACTGTGCACACCAAGGAGGGTGACAAAAAGGCAAAAGCTCGCATTGTGCTCCTGGGCTATGAACATCCCGAACTTGGCTCCACCTCCTACAAGACAAGCTCCCCTGTGCAGTCGGTCATCGCCAGGAACCTTCTCTATCAGATCACATGCCAACATGGCTGGAAGTTGGAAGGATTGGACCTGGCAACAGCCTTTCTTCAGACCAAGCCCACATCGGCTGATGAAGAGATGTGGACAAGTGGCGTTGCTGAGCTTCGTGAAGCTCTACAAGTCGGGCCCGAAGGCATCATGAAGATCCTCAAGAACATCTACGGTAGCACCACGGCTCCAAGAGGCCTATGGCTTGATCTGCATCGCACCCTCTGCTCACTTGGTGGCCGACCGGCCATGGGAGAAAGGTGTTTGTGGCTATGGGCAAGCTCCACCGAGAAAGACGAGGCTGGCCACCCCAAGATCATCGGCATGATGGGAGCACACGTGGACGACTTCCACAGAATTGGTGATCCAGCTAGCGCTGAATGGTCCTCCGTGTGCGCCAAGATCGACCAGGCGTACCAGTGGCGAACGGCCAAATGTGACGAGCACCGTCATGCTGGCACTGATGTGAAGGTCACCCTGGATGGCGATGGTGACCAGGTGATCACCGTGAACCAGCAGTACGACATCGACATGCTCACCGATGTCGAGATTCCTGCTGAACGCCTCCGTGATGAACAGGCTCCACTGTCCAAGCAGGACCTAGCAGCTTGCAGGGCAAGCCTCGGAGCGCTTCAATGGCTCGCTGTTCAAACTCAGCCTCTCCTATGCGGCAGGTGCAACATCCTCCTCAGCGAGCTGGTGAAGAACGGCACGATGGCCCACGCCATGGAGATTGAAAAGATGATTGGCGAGGTCCGACAATCTCCGAGCGACCTCAAGTTCTTCAAGCTGAAGAAGGCCAAGACTTGGCGTGATGTCTCCATCATCACCTTCGCAGACCAGGCACACGTGAACCGGCCTGGTGGAGACTCCACCGGTGGCATCATCACGATGCGATTCAAGAGGAGGGTATGACGCGGTTCAGGTCAATGAAAGCCCGCTTCTTGGCCTCAGCAATCTCCGAAGTGCATTGCAAGCAATGCAATTGAGAGAGAGCATGATGAGGGTTGGCACCTCCCTGAGATGGTTAGCAAGCGACTATGACTTGGCCGACAGCATGACCAAGAAACGACCCGACTGCAGAACAGGTCTTGCAAAGTACCTGGCCAGGCGCTTGTGGTGCATAGCCTTCGACCCCTCCTTCACGGCTGCGAAGAAGAACGCCAAGAGTGGCCACACCGCAGTGAGAGCCATAGATCAAGCAGCACAACCTGACTTTTCCTTTTAGGCTGGTGCAGCTTTCGTTCGTCCTTCAGGTTGTGTGTGAGACTTGTTTTCTATGTCCGCCGCCCTTTTCACAGGAAGGGGCCCCTTTTCTTGACCTCAGCCTTCGACCATGGCTGGACTCTGAGCCGACGGGCTCGTGGAAAAGACCGCTGTCCTACCGAGGACATCCTTCGATCGACCATTTGTTAGGGAAGCCCACTACGCCACCCGGCGCGCTCCTGCTACAGTTTCCCTATGGCGGCAAAAATCGAACTGTTTTCAGTTCTGGGGCCCTAAGCGCTCCTAAGAGATCCTTAGTCAACTTTGAGCCCTCTCTGCCCTCTGAAGAGTGGCGGCCACCAGACCGATCACATTCTGCCAGGAATCAAAATTGACACCCGCCTTGCGGGCAGGCCTCGTGCCCAGCTGCCCCCATGTGATCGTCTGCGCCACATCATAGGCACCCTTGTAAAGGCAGCCTAACTAAGTCCACGAACAACGTGAGACGGCCCTGCTCTAAAGTCCAGTTGATCTGGGAAGTTTCCGGGGCTTCTAGGGTTGCCTGAAGAAAAAAAGCTCCTTCATTGCATGGAGCCCGTGGTCAGCCACTGTCGATCTCCCTTCGGCATTTGTCGTCGTTGGTAGGACGCTGTCCACCAATCTGAGATCGTTGCATTGGGGTCCTGGCCCCCAGTGATGACCCGAATCTCCATAGACTCACAATTCATCGCGACTGCGACTGGCTCTCCAACGGGGGCCCCGCCCAAGATCGTGCGCAGGCCCAAAAGCCGCACCTCACTTTCTTGAGCCAAAATGGCTACGGATTTCTCTTAGCGTTCCCCATCGTCCTCCATTGAACCCTGGGACTGGTACATACAAAAAACAAATCCAATCATCATCTACCACAACCTGAATGTCATTGAAGCACACCCAATTCTCTAGGAATAGAGGAGTCGGTGCTTGGGTGTGCCAAATTCACTCCTCAAAAGTACACAGCTCTCAATGCGGCCGAATTGAATGCCACGCATACTTCGCCATCTGTGACTTCCACTCTAAACATGGGGAACACTTCGTCCAGCAGAACGTGTTGTTTGCTACATTCCACCGAGTACTGTAGTCGTGGTCGTCGTGGTAGTCGTCTTCTAGTCGTCGTCGTAGTAGTAAGCGTCGTCGTCGTACTGGTCCTACTAGTAGCCTATACGAGTACCGGTTGTAGCCGTAGTAGTGGTTGGACTGATTATACATAGTTGCATACAAAAATATACGTGGCGTAGTTCATGTCTGTTACTGTGACGTCGTCTGTTGTTGTTGGTGAACTTTTTCGTTTTTCACTTACATAGTTCCAGTACATCTGACAAGTTTCCCTCTATGCATGTTTGTTTCCTCGGCCACTGCGGCGACACAACCGACGCTCTGTATGCGTAATCCGCTCACCATTCCCCCTCGATGCTCGACTTGCTCGTAAAGGAAAGAACCTATCTTCGTTCACTCCCGAGCTGTTTTCTTTGACGCAGGGTTCACCTACCTTTCCATCTGGTCATGCTTCGGGGGGTGTCCTCAATCCCCCCAAACAAGTTTTGCGCTTGCTCCGCGTGCTTTTTACGTGGAAAGCAATCCGCACTTTGTGGGTGTGACCGTTCCTGCCGTGCGCACTTTCCCAGAAAAAGCTGATTGACGGGGACGATTCCGTTTGACGAGCGTCTGTCGCCAATTAAGGATTCTGTTTGACGGGTGCTCTTGCAGAAGGATTTTGTTTGATGGACACCGTCTACACCTCGGCCAACACCTCCCAGCATACAAAACGGAACCGTCTGCACAAGAAAAGCAACTTGTGCATAAAGGAAGGAACTGTTGGTATAGGGAGATTTTCCACGGATTCTGTTTGACGGGCGCCTTTCACAAGGCATCTGTTTGACGGGGATCCTTGAACAAGGATTCTGTTTGACGGGTCCCTTCAGCAAGGATTCTGTTGGACGGCCACCATCGACACCTCCCAGCATACAGAAGAGAACCGTCTGCATAAGGAAAGCAACCCTGTGCATAAAAGAAAGAACTCTCAGTATAGGAAAACGCACTACGAGCCTACGATAAAAACACGGGCAGCATCAGAAAAAGCGCCCAGGGCATAGAAAAAGACACCCTCGATCTGAAAGCACCCCTGCCCATATCTCCGCATAGGAAAAAATACCTAGAGCATTAAGAACACCCAGCCCATTTCTTAATTTCTGACAACTTGCCTTTTTTACATGGTTTGGTGGAACTTGGGAAATTATCAATTTCTGCATTTCTGAACACACTTCACTTTTTTGTACGTAGTTTGGCGGACATTCGAAAATTAGCAATGTCTTAATTATTGAAATTCTTCAACATGGTGCTTGTTAACTCGGCTTGGTGCTTCTTAAATATCTGAATTTCCGAAGGCCGGAATTTCTGACGTGTGATTGTTGGGGTTTACAGAAAACTAGGTTTTGTAGGGTCTTGGATTCGCCTAAGTTATATAACGTTCTTCCACCTGTTGCTGTTTAGTGGGGAAACACACTCCCAAAAACGGTTGAAGGGTAAGGGTATCTGTGGTTATCCCTCTGACTGCATGGGTAGGAAGCGCCTCTTCTTTGAAGAATTCCAGTTGTTGAATCCAGCCCTCCTCGACATCCTCTGCAGGAGCTCCAGCCTTGCAAACGAAAAGGAGCTCTGCAGCTCTCACGGTGTGATTTCTCACATGATTTCTCGGGTGCTTTCCCTTCGCCAAGAAGCCGGTCACGTTTGGTTGAGAACATTTACCCCATGCGCGTCCACATTTGGGGGACCGAAAGAAGAGGGCCCATGTCATTCCAAAAAGGAGGCTCCCGACCCGATGAATGGCGAATGGAAGACGCAGGGGCGCGGTCTTCGCATGCGAAGACCCTTGCGTTCAGGGCGGCCGTTGAACCGATCCAAAGAGACTCGGCGCTTCCGTGGTGTGGGGGGTGAAAGAGTGACTACCCACGTAAAAGCTGTGAGGTGGAGGATGAGCATCATGCATACCTGGCAGTGTCCTAATTAAGCGCATCATGTGGACATAGAATGACCATCAATGACCATCAGTAAACATTCACCAGTGGAACATGGTTGCTTGAATCTAGCATGACAAGACATGGCTCCACAGTCAACATGGTGGACACCTTTTCGACACCTTCATCCATCCACAATTGAGAAAGCACGAAACATCGAATCCCCTCCGACCAAATTGTCATTGACCAACCGCCAAAAAACATCGGGTTTCTCTTCTCTTCTCTGGACCTCCAATTCTCGTCGTTGACCGTGTGTTCCAAGCTCTTCCTCCAGACCAGTCCACTACCTTTTAGCTTTAGAAGGAGTCCGAAGCGCTGCAGTTGCCCACTTTCTCCTTCACAACCTCCACCTGTTCATGATCAAACCTCCCAGCCCGCGCTGCACGTTTTGAGTTCCAAACCAGCCAGCGCCGTTGGAAGCCCACTTGCTTCAAAGACTCCATGAAGCGCGGATTCCACCTGTGGCGGCGCGCGCCCACGGGTCACGACACCGTCCGCACGGGTGGTGGTAGGTGGCACCCGGCCAGGCCGCCTAAAACGAGTATAGTGACCTCTTTTGGGGAGTGTGCACGGGAGGTTTCCCTGGCTAGTGCCAGCTATTATTGGCCCTCTACACAGAGCACCCTCACATGAAGATCATGAAGGCGATCAGCCTGCGACGATGGCGGCGGTTCGTTTGGTGCAAAACGAATTGGTGCTTTTTTACTCAAGATCGTCGTGATGTTGTATGCTTGATGTCGATTCAAACCCAGTCCTCGAGTAACCTGGCCTTACATTTTCACCCCAAACCTGCTGAACCTTCCTTCCGGCTTGCCCAGGATGCCGCACGGCTTTCGACTGTAGAGATGTGGGATGGTCTCGTCCTGGAGAGACTTCGGATGACTTCGGTGCGCCAAAGTGCCAAAGACGTCAACGAAAACGGTCATGGTGAGGTGCCACGTCGGACTGGGTGTCAGGAGAGTCCGTGTGCACCTTCTGAGGTTCCAATGAAATGAACACTGCTGAAGTGTGAGTACCTCCTCTTTGTGCCAAGTGATTTACTGTTCATACCTCCTCTTTGTGCGGTCGACGGCAGCGCATGACGGCAGCGGTGTCCGGGCAAACATCGACAACTCCTGTGCCCAGAGACGCTCATGCAGCTTCAGCGCCAGGACGTCCTCGAGAGGCGAGGCTTCGGAGAGGCTTCGACCGAAGCCAAATGAAGCGACGAGAAGTCACTGGCATCAAGCGAACGCGCTCCAGAAAAAGCCCCGAGAAGGAAGGACATTTCCGAGAAGGCTTAATAGCGATGGCCTCCAACCTAGTAGCGATGGCCTCCAAGGACATTTCTAACAAGGATCATATAGGATCTACCAGGACCTGATCAGGTTGTTACCCGCTCGCATGGGTATGTATAGCTTCGAAGGGTAGTAGGGACCACAACATGCAAGGCCATTCGTATATGCGAAGATCTACACGAAGGGTTTCCTTCTTTCGGAGGTGTGGAAGCGTTCGGAAAGAAAGCCGACCCCTCCCTGCCATGCCATTCGAACTCCTTCGTTTTGTGGAAAAGTAAGGTGGGAGGACCACAGAAGATACCTTGAAGTATCCCTTCCATGATTCCAACTTGGTAATCTCGCGTAATCTCCAATTGCCCGCTCTATTGGTCTATGTCGTGGACGAGCAGGAAAACATAGGAAAACTCATGGGGGCCTTCCGAAAGACGACCCACGTGTCTTCCGAAGACCCTTCATCACCTCTCTCCGTCCCCACCCTTGCCACCGGCGGCGCGCCGCGCTCTTCCAGCAGACGCTGCGTCCTGCAGGGCGGAGCGCGCGTAGAGGATGGCTTCGGCCTCGGGAACCAGGTGGTTAAAGGCAGCGGAGACCGGTCCAGCGGGGTGGATCGTGAGTGAAATCGAAGACTGATGGAAGAAGCACCCGACAACTGGGCCCTTTTTGGGGGGCTCCAACGAAAGACACGAATCATACAGTTCTCTAGAGAATACGTCAAGTATCTTCAAGTCGTTTTGACCGACGAACATGGTCAGGTCCAATACTTTGGTGCTTCGACCCCCCTCTCCGGTGACCTGTCCCAAGTCACACGGCCTTTCTTCCCTTTTGCCTTCCGACCAAGGCAGCCGCGCACCAGGTATAGCCCATCTCGGTGATGCCTGGCGCGTGATTCATGATGATTCCATGTGGCGCATGGTAGCGCTTTCTGGAACCGGTGGCTACAAGTACAAAGGAAGAATATATTGGCTGTGGGTCAGGGCAGCAGGATACCGACCCTTTGACCTACCTACGGACTGGTGGACAAGCCATTCCCGGGGGAACCCCGTCCCACGACATATTGGGAACCCCCTAAGGAACTTGGAAGCTCCAATGACTGGGGAAGCTGTCAGGCTTTTTGTACCGTAGGAATGCTTGGGATTGGGGTAGTTTTCACCCGCGCCTGAAACGGACTGCAGTTTCAAAATGTTTCAAACATAGGCCACCTGTTCGAGTATGATGAAAGGCTTCAACATGATGAGAACCTCCAACCCCACTTTGAAGTCTTCTGGTGATCTCGTCATCACCCCTCCTTGTTCGACCCGGGAACCCAGTCGGACATACATCACATCGACCCACCCCCAGTGGACACGGAGGACACAGACCAACCCGTGGATCTCAGTGGCGACAAAGGGATCCCTGTCCCTCCGCGGTGTGAAGAAGGACGTTTGAGAGCTTAGCTGTGTTCGGTCTTCGGTCACCACGTGGCACTCATCTCATCTCTTCTTCTCTTCACCGGTCGCGGCCGGTGAGGACAAAAGAAGGTCGAAAAAAGGCGAGAAAAAGGAGCAAGTCTCCACCCTGGCATGGGGGTATCAGCCTCCCGGCAGCTGAGCCAGCATCCCCTGCAGTCGAACAAGCGACATTGTGTTGGCTAAGCTGGCATTCCTGCTTGGCTTGTCCGTCAGTTGCAGGTGGAGGGTGGACTCTGACAGCCATGTCACAGTCATGGAAGCCGCTGAAAAAGGCTACTCACCTGGCCCAACCCGCTGATCTGGAGCTGCAATCGGAGTGTGCCCACAGCGGTCAGCCATTGCGCTGCGGTTTTTCCCTGTCACATCCCCTGTCATCACAAGCATCGTCCACTGTGCTGCTATCTACTTCCCCACTTGTTGGCAACGACTTTGGTCCGTGCGGCTTCTATCTCTGCAACAGCCGTTGCAGTCTTCTCGCATGGAATCTCCTCGTGTCAGCATATCTCTATAGAAGGACTTCCCTCTCATTTGGCCACTTGGCCGGTGTCTGTGGAACATGGAAGGGGCAGCATCATGCCATTGGAAGCTCTTACGAACTACTGGTTTCTAAGTTCTTCCAAAGATTCTATGGATATGGAGACTTGTTGTATAGTAGCAAGAAGCTACTAGTAACAAGGGAGTTACTACTAGTAACAAGGGCATTACTACTAGTAGCAAGGGCATCGCTATTAGTCACTGACTTCTTCGGAACGAAGCGCCACTTGATGGACCTCCCGCCTCCCAGCTCCTCGTCGCTGTCGTCCGAGAGGATCCTGCGATGGCAAGCCCCAAACAACCAATATGGCTTATGGGAGCCCCTACCCAAGCCGGGTTCAACCTCTATGGGAAGCGAAACAAGATGAAAAGAGATGTCTGTTTCACTGTGTGTCATCAGCTCAGCATCAGTGGTTTGGGCGAGCTGTACAAAGCTGTACAGTACCTGATGTGAGTTGCTCTGTTTTTACCCCAAACCTGGCCCCACTCCATCTACTTTTCTCACCCCAGTTGACGACTTAGGCCTGGTATGTCTGGGAGGGAGCAACATCCGACCGTCCCACTTCCCTACGTTGCACATCGAAAAAACCTTCGCTGAGGAGAACCTCAAAGGAGAGGAAACAAGACCGCTGGATGCTTCAATTTCGACCTGAGTGGGTAGATTTTCAAAAGGGTCAGGGGTAACCTGTGTCTATTGCAGGAAGCCTCAAAAAGACATGAAGATGTGGAGTTGCACGTCTCATCATGTCTCAGTGAACGTGGAAGAAAACGGCCTCTTTCAGCACTCCCTGCCAGATCGCCCTGGGATTCCAGGCCCTTCATGTGGTCCATGCGGCTCAAAGGCCTCTCCAACGCCCAGGTAGAGCAAGTCCTGGGAGCTTCCGGCGAACGATAAGCTCCAAGTGGAGGGAGGGGCTGCCATCTGCTTCTTCGGGCCGTTTGGACTCCAAAAAGGGTCTATTTCTCCTCGTGTGCATCAGACTTCTGGAACATCTCTATATATATATATATGTCTTGTTCGGAGCTGAAGACAATAAGCACCTCTCTTTTGAATGAGATTACTGTATTCTTGGTGTTCGGATGGCTGCCAACTGTGACACTGCAGGCATTCTTCTCCAAATTCTGCGGTCTTCTGCGGGGGGTCCACTTTCTTTCTTCAGCATGCCAACCAGGCTTTCACCTCCTAAACCTGCAGGAAAGGCCAAAAGTCCGGTATCAACACACCACTCGTTTGTAGAATCTGTGACCCCCCCCGCCCTCCTCCATTCCGTCTAACCAAGTTCTGAGGAAGGGAAGTCAGCCTTAAGGTATTCAACCACAGCCTCAACTCCAGGAAAAAGTAGGAACGCCAGGATTCCCAAGAGTTGGGGAAGAACAGGGGAACCCCAGGATTCCGAAGAGCCGGGGAAGAACACGGGGGGAGGGCGTTTCTCAATTTCTCTCTCTCCTTTTCAAAACACACGTTCTCCCGTATTTTTTGTTCATCAGGCGCTTTTTCGCCTCGACTCCCTGTTCTTCTTCAACATTTTCTTCTCCAAGGCGCCAGGTGAGGTGCCCGTCTCATGAGCTGCACCGCTTCTTCCACCTGGAAGGCTTTTGACCATGGTGTGCTATCGTCTAAGTATCTCTAAGTCCTGTTCCAGGCAGCTGCTCATATTGGTACAATCGCTAGATACCCGCCAGTCAGAGAACAGTCCAACACCTTCAAGGCCCCGAAGTGAAAATCAGCTCACGCAAATCGACGCCCCAATGCGCCCTCCATGCGGCAAACACCAAAGGTAGACACTACTGGGTACCAGCTTTGATATATTAGCACTGTAGTGTTGGGCGTTGTTGCGCATTGGATCGAGAGACGTTGCTGCGCACGTTGAGTGCCGTTCCACAACACATAAGAAACCCATAGAACCTGTGTAGTGGGCACGTCCGTGCTGTTGGCGGGACGCAAAAGACGGGACCAAAGAAATGAAGAACTCATGAAACACTCTCGGAGGGCTTGGACGTTCCTTCGCTTTGGTATTGTTGTGACACAGAAGGGGGGACATTCCTGGTCTATCAGCCTGAGGCCACCCCCCCGCCAGGTTTCATGCATCACTTCACTTCGGCGGACTCTGCTCTGATGTCATGCGCGTTGGGACAAAAAACATCATCTGCTCAAAGCACGGTCTCTCTGAAACTCACAGATGCTGAAATGGATCTAGAGGGACTCTTGGACCAAAACACCTACCAATACGACCCATCTACGCCGCCCACCGGGCTCCAAGACCGGGACCCAGCGACGCGCTGCCCCACCGACGGAGCCGAGCGACGCAAAAGGCCCAAGCGCTTGGGCAAAAGCACAGATTCCCCGGACAGGTCTCACACCAACCCCTGGGCGTCACGCAGCGCTGGCGCCCGCCCGCTGGAGGGTTTTTCTTTTGTTGTTTTTTGCAGGGTTCCCTCAACCTGCATGTTTGCGGGGGGTGGCGCGGAAAAAAACACCTGTGGGGAGCAATTGGAGGATTCTGGCAGATCACCGATCACCATGCTCTTGAGATCTCATGAGTACTGATTCTTTTCTCACCTGAGAAAAAGGAACATTCCTTACTCCCTACAAGACTCGTGGATCTCGCCGACCCGGTGTAGGTCGAGCATTTTGCTCGATGGAAGAGTCAACCCTGGCACGCATGGACTGCACGGACGGGCCGTGTTCTATTCAAACGGCCAGCTTGGATTCAAGCGGAGTGGTTCTGACTCCTCAAAGCGGAGTTTGGCCCAAACGTTGTGCTGTTTGTAAACTCCTATCTGTCATAAGATGCACTTCACAGGATCCTGGGACATTCTGTACGGAGAGAAACCTGGTGGGTCTCCGTTGTCTCCGACTCACTGGGACAGGAGAGACGTTTCAAAAGCAAAAACGGGTCCTGCCAGATGGGGCAACCTGGAGAAAAACCTCTGACACCAGGCCTTTTGGGACAGCTGAAGCCTGAAGCCAACTTGGAAGCGATCATTTCATGAGATGGTGGAAGATTCCGAAACTTCTTAGTAGGAGCCCATGCATGATCACAGAAAACCCTTCCCATCACAGAAGGAAAGCGACAGAACACCGTAGGGATTGGAGAATGAGACAAAGAAGCAAACATCAGGAAAGACATGAAAAACACGACTTGGTCTCCTCCATTCTTCGGCCGCCTCTGGGCCAACCCCCCTGTTCGCCGCGCCTTTTTCGGGCCACGGAGGTTGGGATGACGGCATCGTCCTCGAAGACCAAGGCAAACCTGGGGGGAGACGGGCGACGCCTGGGAGGTCTCCCTCATTGGTGCAAACGACCAATAAGTATGCTGCCCTCATTGGTGGAGCCAGCCAGTTGTTTGATCTCTTTTTCCGAGACTCTCACCGGTGTGCGAAAAAACAGGGTGTTTTACCGGCTCCAAAAAAGAGTTGCCTGGGTCTTAGAGAAGAGGAGTTGCTCACCATAGACTCCGATGAGAAACACACATCCAAGACACACTTATAGATGATCTTCCATTGATTCCACCTCTTTAAGACTAATCGAATGCGACATATGGATTCACATGGCAAATTTTTGGAGCTAAGCCCTGCGAGGTATCAGATTCGAGTCTTCCACACTCTTTCTTTTTTGCCGAGCGGTGATCAGATTGGCGAGGTAGGATGGTCTAGCCTGCAATGCTCCCACCCTACTTCAGGTGCACCCTTCAAATCCCAAACTTGAACACAGTTCGCAGAGGACTATGGCCACTCGAGACCGAAACGAACACTGAATGATGGAACACACGACAAACGACATGTCACATGCAACACAGGACTAGTGGCCTCTCAGCTCAATCTGGTATCCGCGACTGCAATGAGAGATTTATCGCTCCTTGAAAGGTGTTCGTATCAAAGGACTCTGCACGAGTTGTATCTGGCGATCTGGTTGAGCAACCGTTTTTCCTTAAGGCATACGCCTTATTCATTGGTTTCCACCTGAGATGCAAACACCTATGAAGACCAGGAATTTCCGGGGACGAAAGCTTTGAAATGGAGAGTCTAAGCTTCAAAAACCTCATGAATAAAACTCGTCTCGTCGCAACTCCACAGGCAACACCTCTAGTCACCAGTTCACCAGTTCATAGTCACATAGTCTGATATCACTGATATCACCAGCAGAGGTTGAAGAACCCTATAGACTATCCTATAGGTACCCCAGGTTACGGGTCCTATTTACGGTCACTGGATACCTCTGTTGGCATCACGTGGAAACTGCTCTTCTTTTCACCTGTGCACCGTCGCAGGTCGCCAAGGCGCTCGTGTCCGTCCGTCGCAGCCTTCACCAGGCCACGAAGATGACCTCAGCGCGCGCGCGCGTGCCGCGGGAACGGCGCTTGGCTGACCCGACCGTTTCATGAAGCTCCTATAGGATGCCTGATCTGGTGGTGCCTGTCTCTTGCCGCCGACACCATCAAGCTGTTACTGGCCTCAAAAAACGCGCAGCGTTTTTTGCCTTCGGATCACCAGGTTGCGTCAGCTTGGGACCTCTGCAGAACATCCAGGCGGCGTTTCATACACCATGTCATATCACGATCAACAAAGGTGACTGAAAGCCCGGCCGACGGAAGGATCTGCAACACCTTCCGCCTTCTGCGCCCTCGTTCCCGGTCTCTGGGTGTCCCGAACTCATCGCGCAACTAGTGGCGCCCGGCCAGTTGGTGTCGCGCAAGTAGCCTCCGAGGTGTTTCTCTGGGGGGAAATGGACCGAGAAGCTTGCTTTTTTCGGACAGAGCTGTGGAAACAACGGCTTCTGGTTGTGTGTCCATCTTCCGGGGTCACCAATGGAACGGGGTACATGACTCTGTGGCCCTTGAAAGGTGCAGGTATCTCTGCTTTTATGCCTTCCGCCCCTGGCTATGGGCATCTAATACTGGTTCCTTGCGAGTCGACAAAGGCAAGTTGTATAGCCTACTTATGCACAACTTATTGCCCACCTACGGTTGCAAACTCACGAACCCGTCAAGGTTTGAGTTGATTGCATGCATCCTCTTCAGAGCAGCAGGTTTTCTTCGGCATGGAACCCTTCATGCCTTGCTTGGAGACCTTGATGCCGCCAGCTCCGAAAAAGAGCGGGTGTGCTTGACATGAGAGAAGGCACATTCTATTCATCGTTGTGAACTACCCTGCAAATTTCAACCAACCTGTCTGACACCTGGGCAAAATGTAAATGTTCAACATCAAAGAATGAAATGACTGGGGAAAAGCAAAGTCTTGATGCATGACAGTAATACGTCATTCCAGGAACACCTTACATTTTAGACAAAGGATACAAGATTTGTACACTTTCCTGACGTATTGAAGTGGAGGAACGTTGCAGTCGACATCCTTGTGGCCCACAATGACCAGTCAAACCTTGAGCTTTGCCTCTTCAAGACCATCATCTGTGGGGTGTTGCTTCATGATCATCCACTTCTCCTCCCGTGGAAAACGGCGCAACTCGTTGTCCAACAGAAGATCCGCGAGGATGGCTCGTTCACTTCGACCTGACTGAGTCAATGTACCTCAGTGTTCTCCATCTGCGTCTGCGACTGATGTAATGCTGCATTGGTTCCCCTGCCTGGCTAGGAGTCACGCATCGAAGTGCCAGTGAAGCTCCATGGCTTCGTGCTCACGTGGCGGGAACACAGCCTTGCGCACACCCCTCTATCAGATATGGCACGGCATCTGGACCCTCTGAGTGCCACCAAATAGCGATAGCTATAGGGGTTCTTACTTCTCAACGACTGGGTGCCTGCATGTATTCTGGTTTGGTTTGCCGCTGCTGTCTCCCCACTTGTCTCCTTACATTTCTGTCTGCCTGTGTGATGGCCGTTTTGGTTAGCCATTGCTGTGCCTGGCCTCTGCTGCCTTGTCTCCCCACTTGTGTCACGGGCTCGGTGTGCTAAGAGGAAAAGATGTGCTTCCGTTTGAGTTCGTCGCTATCCGGCGTCTACGCCATTCTTTTCCAGTGAATGCACACTTCAAACGAAGCATGCAAAAACCAAATGAAACCACCACCAAAAACACCAAAACCACCAGAAGAACCCCCATCCAAGATCGTCAAAACCACCCAATCCCCGGCACCGGGCGCCCGCCTGCGAGGTCGCCGTCCTCGGGGTCGGCCAAGCGTTGGGCGCCGTGCCTCGACCGCGGTACCGCCGGACCGCGGAGTGACCGGTGGACGACCGGTGGCACCAGATCGACCGGGGGACGACCGAGATGGACTTAGATTCTATTGAACTTCTTGTTTATAGTAGCTTCTTGTTACTACTAGTAAGGCACTTGTTACTAGAAGCGA